AATCTTCATCCTGGCAGTTAAAGTCCCATTAAATCCAATCCTCAGTCAGACTGCGGACACATAAAGCAGCACACTGCAAACACTCCCAGAGACTGAAGCACAAACACCAGCTTACTTTCAGGTTCACTGTTCAGTCATGGGGTGTCCGGGGGATCCCGGGCAGAGAGTAGATAGTGTTACAGTGCTATAGTCCTATTTTTATCTGGGAGAAAATAGAACTACACTGTAAAAAATGGCAGTGAAATTGACATAAAAACCATGTAAAATCCCTACAGAAATGTATAGTAAACCCCAAAACACATTTTTCTGTTTCAATCACAGTGAATTTTTGTAAACTATTAAACAGAATGTTTTTGTTATATTTACAACATCAATGTGTGATTATAATCAAATTTATTTGTTAAAACTACAAATATTGGGAACAAAAACAGTGAAATACTTTAATACTCATAACAAAACAAAACAATTATGTTAATTTGACATGCAAATATTGTAAAAACTATAGTTTTAGTCAGTTGTTTTTAAAAATACACGAATTATATGTATGTCACTTTACAGGTTTATACTGTAGGCCTTTAACGGACCTACTTTTAACATGATTCATGAAATTATGCAAATTCAGGTATAGGGCTATTAAAAATGTTTTCACAGAAAATTGTGAACCTGAGAGGTTACTTCTCTATTTTTATGCTATATAAAGATATACAATTATAATGACATTGTCCTTTTTCTAATCATTCAGGCTATTTGCAGCCTATTGTAGAGTAACCTATAAGAAATTATTATTATCAATAGCCTAAGTAGCACTTCTGTTCAGTCATAATTCTTCTGTTCTTTATGTTTCTTTTAATTGTAATGTGATACTTAGACTAGACTACTGTTTTTGGGTTAGGTTAGCAATGTATCATATCATACGATGTCTATGGTGCCTTCTCTCCACAGAGCTGTAGGCCACTGTAGCCTGCACTGAGAGCGCCTAATTTTGAGAAGGGTCTGGCTGCAGCCAGTGGGGAGCGCCATATTGTGATCTCCACAGTAACCGGAAACACGTGACCTCCACATTTTGTTCACAGAAAAAGGCTGAGTACTTTGAACTGCCACTCAGTTCATAAGCACAGACAACAGTTAGGACCCTTCCCTCACCCTGAAGGTGCTGGGAACAAACCCTCTTGTCCACTGGAAGAAAACCCCGGTGAACCCCAAGCTGAGGCAACAAGCTGAGGGGATGTTAGATACCTACTCCAGCCCGCCGTCATCTCATAGGGGTCTTCTGAATCACACTTTGTCTGGTCCCTCACCCAGGACTATTTTGCCATGGGAGACCCTACCAGTGTCATGGTCAGACGGTCTTCCCGGACGACCTGCTTGTTTGTTTGTGTGTGTGTGTATGCCCTCCTCTCTTTCTCTCTCCCTCCCTACTCTGCGGGTCTGGCTGCCGAGGAACGGCGTCTCCGAGAGAGTGAGAAAGGCCGATCTCTGACCCGGCTCCAGCTGCCGCTAATCTTTCCTCACTAGACGGAGGTATTTAACGATGTGTCCAGACGGCAGTCGACGCTGGATTGTACTCGGAGCTCGGTAGCTAAGTGTGCGCGTGATCTTGTCACCCGCGTGGCCAGGCAAGCCTTCTCATCCATTGTTGTGTTTGCTCGACTTTCAGATTGGAGAAGTACGGGACGGAGGAGTGGAGTAAAGGATTCACTGGTGTTTTCGGGAGGAGGAGCTCACACGGAAGGAGCGCACACAGACCTCACGGGAAAACTCACCTTCACCACTTCCGGGAACTGAGAAAAAGAAAGGACAATTATTGGAGATATTGATGTTTAAGGACTATCTTTCACGCACTGTAAATAAACGCACTGTCTGCTTCAACCCAGAGCTCCGCGCTTGAGTCCATACCTTCCATTAGCCGTGACAACCAGGGGGCATAATCCCCAGACAACATATTGTATCCCCTGGGATCCCTGGGACACACAAACCCCTCCATCATGATAAAGTAGCGATTTGTGGAGGGTAAGTAGTTTGTCTGATAGATGAGCTCATTTTTAACACCGCAGCAGAGGACAGGTGCAAGTGTCTGTCTCCTGAATCCAAACTGGAAGCTGGTTCCACTGAAGAGGGGCCTGAAAACTGAAGGCTCTGCCTCCCATTCTACTTTTAAATACTCTAGGAACAACAAGTAGGCCTGCAGAGCAAGAGCCAAGTGCTCTAATAGGGTGATATGGTAAATGGCCTGCATTTGTATGGCGCTTTTCTAGTCCCTAAGGACCCCAAAGCACTTCACACTACATTCAGTCATTCACACACACATTGGTGATGGCAAGCTACATTGTAGCCACAGCTGCCCTGGGGCGCACTGACAGAGGCGAGGCTGCCGGACACTGGCGCCACCGGGCCCTCTGACCACCACCAGTAGGCAAACATGGGGTTAGTATCTTGCCCAAGGATATTTGGCATGCAGCCAGGAGGCAGCCTGGGATCAAACCACCGACCTTCTGATTAGTGGCTGACCTGCTCTGCCACCTGAGCTACAGCCCACTATATGGTACTATAAGGAAGATGGCTTCCTTACTAGCATCATTTGTATTATGGTAACCTTTACAGCACTTTAGGAGCACCTTTTCACTTTATTAAAATCACTTTAAATAGCACTTTCTTTAGCTCAAAACCTTAAACATAGATTTGTGCATCAAAAACTATTTTCACACAAGACGTTTAATTATTTATTGAATAGTTATTGAGTGGGAATAGGTTAATTGAACAATCTAAATTGCCCATAGGTGTGAATGCAAGAGTGAATGTGAGTGTGAATGGTTGTCTGTCCCTGTGTGTTGGCCCTGCGACAGACTGGCGACCTGTCCAGGGTGTACCCCGCCTCTCGCCCTATGACAGCTGGGATAGGCTCCAGCGCCCCCGCGACCCTGGAAAGGATAAGAGGAAGCGAATGGATGTATGGATAGTTATTGAGTATTTTAATAGTTGGCAGGCAGCCTCAATTCCTGGACAACTGTTCCTCACTGAGAACTGAGAATCGTGGTGATTGTCTGCAATGAGGAAATAATTGTTACTGGAGCCAATAAGGTCTGTGATTAAGGAAAACTTGGGCAAATGTTTGTGTAAATTCTGTCCAGTGGTTAATTGCATAAGTATGTGGAGGCAGGACCTCACAGCAGAAGCATACTCATCATAATGTGTTGTACATTATTATATGTATATTAATATGGTATTTTTCAATTATTGTATTTACCAACATCAAGAAGTCACAAGCAAAGAAAGACCACACCATGGTGCATGTTTAAACAAGGAAAGTTTATGGTCATGATAAATATACCGTATTTCCCGGACTACAAAGCGCACCTGAATATTAGCCGCACAAGCTAAAATCAGGGGAAAATCCTGTTTTGTACATACATTAGCCGCACCTGACTAAAAGCCGCAGGTGTTTCAATGTTGACTTATCATATGTAAGAGAATATGCACAAAGCGAATTGTCAGGAAAGAGATGGCTGTTTGGAGACACACCCCTTTTATTAATATTTTGAAAAACAAGTTATGGGTACATATTTGCATAACTTTTTAGGTATATGTACAAGTAGCGGTAATTACAAGTACGAAACATGTACTGTGCTTCATAAATGAGTAACAAATGTAGTACATAACAATAACCTACAGCACACCAGAAAAATAGATTCAGACTACCTTTTAGGCTCAGGTGCAGTGACACGGCTTTAACAAGAAGAAAAGTCAGTCATTCACCATCTTTCTCTTCTTCCTGCGCACTAAAACCACCAAAGTCCTCTTCTCCAGTGTCGGATACGAACAGGCTCAGGATGGCTTCGTCATCCACTCTCCGCTTCTCTCCTTCGTTGTCACTTTCAAAACCAAAAAAATCCTCGTTGTCAGTGTCAGAGTCGAACACCCTCAGAAGGGCCGTGGCGGTGTCCTCCTCTCCATCATGCAGCAGTCCAGCCCTTCGAAATCCGTTGGTGATCGTGGATGTTTTCACACTTTTCCACGCTGTCAGATTCCACCGGTGGAGTTGAGCATAACTTGCTTTTCGCAAGTTTATCGCCGCTGGTCATCCACGACTCCCGCTGAACGCGTAGCGCTACTTTGAAGTTTGTTTTTCGCGCTACTTGTACGGCACTATGTTGCCTGGCGGATGGACATGTGACCAACATACCACTCTTGAACCCCGATCCTTCCGCCAGGCAACGTAGTGCCGTACAACAGCGGAACAAACAAAACAAATCGTCTTACGATATGACAAAAATCATGGACAATCCATAGAAAAGCCGCACCTGACTAAAAGCCGCAGGGTTCAAAGCTTGTGCAAAAAGTAGCGGCTTATAGCCCGACAATTACGATAATTAAACATAAGTCCTCTCTGCTGACATCTGGCCACCAGATGTGAGCGTCATTTAACACAAGCTTCAATGATTTAGAAAGCTTCGTTTGGCCCTCACTACATTGGGACGTTTGAAATTGAGTCAGTGGGCAGTCAGTCATAAAATAAATTACTATAAAACCAAAGTACCCGAGAAGAGGAGCCCTTTCTGTTTTCCAGATTTGCTGAATAGTAAATGGGGAACTTTATAAGTGCTTTCCCCCCATGCAGTTATCATTAACCATTACACAAATATTTGATTGTCTTCAATTTATTGCTTTATCAATTTATTTATTATAAACAGTAGGGAACTGAAGCCAGCCCATTGTTCCTTCAGTGGGATGGTTTCAGTCATTATGCAATGTACTGTTTATAAGGTTGGGGAAACCTGCAGTCAGCTGAGACTGAAGAAGCCACTTGGATGAGTGACTGAAAACGCTACGTCCAGATAAACAGAATGTGGAAATTACATTTTTTCCAATCTGTAATTATCTCAAAACTTTGGCAGTTAATTTAGTATATTTTGAGTTATTTCAGTTGTGGAAAACATTGTTTAACCTTGCTGAATCGTGGTGTAGCCGGTCTGGCCTTAAACTCTGATCGCCATTAATATATACCATATATATATATGATATACCATAAGGCTAAGGCGAACTAAGTGAGAAAGTGATATTAATCAATACATAAAAATAAAAAAATCTGACACGACACCCTCCTGAATCTGAATTGGGTAAGCAGAGAAAAATGGATTTATTTCATGAATTCTTGTGTACATTTTATATAGACTAATGTATAAATCGTACAGGTCAGATCAATAATCGAACAATCATATCAAACTAAATGATCAGTGGAGCTGATCCTGGTGTCTTCTGTGTGTTTCTTGGCCTGATTATTCCCTGCAAAGGAAATAGAATAGAGTCACACAAACAAAGAAATAACATTTCAAATCTGCAGGAAGCAGATCGTCTTAAACAAAGAGGACCCAAAGCAGGCACGTGGAACAGGGAAAGCAAAACTGGACACAATGCACATGAGACAAGGACTATCAAAATAAACCAGGAAACATGGCAAACGGGGAAACCAAGATCCAACACACATAAACCTGATGTGGGAAGAGAACAAACACATAGCATTACATGGCCGAGAGATACAGAGAGTGAGAGAGAGCGATTGATACATGAAGAGACATGATGGGCTGAGAGGCTGAGGTGATGCTGAAGTCAGAACACAGAGACAAAGAGGCGAGATGCTAAAACAAAGAGAGGACTGAGGGACAAAAGGAGATCACTTAAGGAAATTAAACCATCTACAGGCATCACACACACAAAAAAGACAGAAAATTCATAAGCACAAGGTAACTAAATTGTACCAATAGGGACTAGAAACATTAATCACTTAGTAACATCACAACATTGATAAGTGGACAAGACTCAAAGATTAAAAAAACAAAAAACACTGGTTCAAAGACCGAGAACCATGACATTAACTAACACTGATACACGTGGACTGTCCTGCCATCTCTGTCCTTCCACACGACTTTATTTACCTGAGACAGGTGAACTGTGGCTTTGCAGGGCAGCTTGGCAGACTTCACACCTGAACCCACCTCCACCTCACGAACTGAAAGAACAACCAAGCACAACATGAGCTGCACAGCATCAGCAGCAAACTTCCTTTGACAGATTCCTTTCTGAACCTAGCTGTTATGAGCAATGAGCAATTTCACCTGATGCTTTTAAGTTTCATTTTGAAGCAGGGATACAAATAACAAAGAGATCACAAAAGGGAACTAACATCAATGGAGCAACAGAACCAGAAACAGGGTAATGAGACTCAGAAGTGCTGCGAAATATTACACTCAAAGAATGAAACACTGTAGAACTAAGTAATGGATCAATGACACTAAGGACTATGAGGGATAGAAACATCCAGATTTTTCATAGAATTATTGAGTAACACGCAGACATACATTCCTACATACCTTCTTTATTTTTCAGCCTTTTATATCCACAAAACATGCCGATACCACAGCAAATAGCCAGGACAACCACAGGAACCAAGACAGCTGAGAGAACTTTGGGCCAGACTGGAGGAGGTAGAGGAGGAGGTTCTGTAATTAGCACAAGCACAAAAACCTGAACATCATCCAGCAGATTTTGATAAATTTAGAGTTCACTTCTGCTCTAACCTCTGTCTACATCGCTGACCTGTGACCTTCAGTTGTAAGAAAATCCAGCTCACATCTCGTCCAACGATGCGGAGGATGCAGGTGTAGGTTCCACTGTCAGAGACAGTCGGGTTTCTCAGAGTGAGGCTGAGGTCTCCAGTTTGCAGAGCATCAGCACTCATTGATGTTCGGTTGGTGTAACGCTGGTTTTGGTCATCCAAATCATCACCACTCTTCACACGAACATGGACTGTTGGGATGTTCAGGTCCTTGCGGTCCCACACTGCTGCTGTGAACTCACTGGGAGCAGCTAGTAACTGACAGGGCAGCAGAACAGACTCTGCCCCCTCGTACACCTCCACTGCTGTGGCATGCTGGGAAACTGAGGAGAGAAAATATGAAGCCGATGAATGCAGTGATTTTGTAACATCAGGTGAGACAGTATGAGGACCAACATGCACAAGAGGTGAAAGTTTAACTCTAACTACAGATGCAAAGATGGGTTCTGTTTACAAGTGATCAATTCAGCATCAGAGATTTTCACACCTATGTCATGGTCTAAGCTGGTGGACCGTGAGGAGTGGAGAGTGAAACCAAAAGCAGACATTGGAAAAGAAAGTCATTTTTTAAAAAAAAAGGCAAGCTGTTTATTAAAACTGGATGACACTACAAAACAAAAGGCAAAACAACAACCGAGACACAAAAAAACTAAACTGAGCAAACAAAACCGAAAACCAACATACAGAACACAGGGAAGATGGAGTCATGAGGAGGTGGCTGGTAGCCAACCCACTACTTTTAGGAGAGTGAAACTAAAAGCCTGTCTAAGAGCATCAGTTTTGTACTGCCGCTGGCTGCAGCAATGAGTTTATGTCAAAGACAAACCACGGATATACTGTCCACTTTAATTCTCTGTCTCTTAAGCTGCAAGTGATTAAAGAATTAATAAAACATTATTCATCAGAGAAGAAAGCAAAATTCAAAACAGATTTGTGTTCTTACAAGTCCGTGTGCATAGTTCAGTGATGACAACAATCACATTAAAAAGTTTTTGGTTATCAAGATTTTCCTGTGAGGTTTGAAAACTTGGAATGTTACATACATTACATTTTTCGACCAATAAGAAAGGTTGGGGTTTTTTGGTTTTGTTTTTTCTCACAGGCTTTCGAGTGTTTTCCTTATAAAACGCCGTTTTTACCGTTTCTTCCTGCAGTAAATATAAACAACGACAGTATTCAGGAAGAAAAACAAACATTGCAGATATTTTATCATAACTCTGGTTTTACGCGGCCGATCAACACAATTTAAAAACTGGTATAAAGTCCACACTTTGTCCGTCAGTTGTTCCGTCTGTCCTGCTCACATCTCCAATGGTTGTACACGTTGTCATTAACGTGGCTTCACTCCACATCAGCCGCTTTGCTAAAACACCGGTGTCGGCACATAAGGACGCTGTCATAGCCTGTCAGCGACGTTGATTAGCTGCGTATATACGAATGTGAATCGCATCATTGGCTGGACTGTGGGATAAGGTGGCATCGTTCTGATCCCATACGGGAGCAGCCAGTCACTGACTAACACTGCAAAACAGAATTGTTAAAGTATTTTAATTTCAATTTCAGGTTAGATATTACTTTTTTCAAGTAACGAGTAAAGTAAGGGATTACTATTGCAAAAATAGTAATTAGATTACCGTTACTTTCTCGTAGGAACGCTGTGTTACTAAAACCGTGATTTTTTTGCGAGAATGTCTCATGACAGTGACGTAAGCGAGTGCGACGTTTGTGGCAACAGCTGTGTGCAGATCAACAATGGATCATATATCGAGTGTGGGAGAGAGTATGAGCGTGCAGTGTTTAAAGCGTGGAAGTACTGACCTTACTTTGAGTTTGATTCCATAAAAAGTGACAAAAACATTAGTGTCCATCGTGCGTGGGAAGAAAACTTCTTTTTACAGCGAAAAAACCCCAAAACTTCCAGAGCAAGCAGCGAGTAGCTACGACGTAATGGGAAACTCACAGAGAAACTCACGGATTCTTCCACTGACCGCGGCACACCTGCACCAGGGTAAACCTCCGCCTACCCCACTCCTGCTTTACAGGTGAAAATAGAGCAACAGGACCGCTGAGTCTTTGATTTTATTTATTTTCTGCTGTGTTTCACTTGCATCTATTTGAAAGACTGAGTGTAAACACAAAAAATATTGTAATGACCTGGCTGGGGTTGTTAGCCAGGTGCATTCTGGGTATTGTGTTGTCTCTGTGTTTTCTATCGTTCTGCTAGTTCCTATGTGTTTGATTTGCATGTTGTGTTAGTGTTATGTTAATGTAAGCCACAGTGAAGTTGATGTGTGTTCTGTGGAGTGGGTTGAATTGGCATGGTTGGCTGACACCGCGACTCTATGTGGTGGGAGCGTGATAGGGGTTCGGTGTCAGCAGTGTTACGTTGTTGTTGAAAAAGATGGTGAATAAATGCCTGGTGTGAACCACTACTGCCTCCTGCTGGATTATTCGGGGATTACCAGTCTGCTGCTGAGACGCTCGGGGTCATGCGGTGTACGAGGCACGAGCGCTCTCCATTCATTGCGAAGTTTAGCGATAGCTGCTAGCGCCCCGCTAGCCGTTTAGCTAGTGAGCAGTTTAGCCAGTCAGCTCCCCAAACCCACAGTCGTTACAATATTTTATTTTATGTGCTGGAATGTGCAGAAAATAGGTTTAAATGTCAAACTAATCTCTTCCAGTTAGAGAATGTTGCATATAATTAAGTTTTGCTTGAAACATGAAGTTAAAAGGTTAAAACTAATACAAAACAATCTAATTTATCTATTATCACATCCGGTTCTTTTATATTCTTTTACTGACCGAGAAAAAACCAACACTCAGTGTGGTCAAAGCTCAAAAATCATCTTTATTCTACATTTCCAGAAAAGGAGAGCTGCAGATGCTAGCAAGCATCAACAGGTCTAAGGCATTACAAGCCGAATGGGTATAATATAATTCTGTTATACGTCACACATAGTCACACAGAGTTTCAATCAAAACAGCTCCTGTGCTGCACTCTACCTAGTCTCACTTCCTGTTCTCTGCAAGCCTGCACAAAGCGTGCAGAGTTTCCTGTCTTAGACATTACTCTGTGACCTTTCACACTCCTTATAACTTATGACTTTTTTCTACACTGGCCTCTATAAAACAGTAAAAAGTAGAATTGGGCTGAAAGATCTATCGCTTTATCACCTATTCAGGTTGTAAATCGTGTTTTTAAAAAGTAACTAAGTAATTAATTACTTTTGAAAATAAGTAATCAGTAAAGTAACAGGATTACTTTTTGGGGGAAGTAATCAGTAATTAGTTACTGATTACTTTTTTCAAGTAACTTGACCAACACTGCTGAAAGTATAAGCCAGATGTGTGATGTGGGGTGTGATAAAGAGTGTGGAACTGATAGGT